TTCCTTAGTTTCTTTTATAATGTTGCATGTTTTGGTCTGGAATGAGCTGGCATCTGTATATAGGTGATCCATAAATAATAATGATGTATTTTTTAGTGTTTGGAGAAATAAATGATAATTTCTATTATTACCATATTTATTAAGCATACTTTTTTGAAGAGAGCTCTAAATATTTTTGCAGTGAAAAGAGAAGGATAATGTGATTGTTAAGTTGTATTTGTAACTGATTGGCTGATTTATGTCTGTATTTATATCTCTAATACCACAAGTGAAAACTTGGAAAGGATTTTTTAAATTAAAATCCATTTAGAAAATCAATGTTTCAAAATAATGCTTTTTTGTGTTTTTTTTTTTTTTTTTTCCTTTAGATATGAGTTGCTGTGTATAGATATACCTGGATGCTTCCTCAAGTATAAAAAAATAAAAAAATTGTTTTTCTGATGTGCAGGACTTTGAAGAAAGATACATAGAAATCTTAAATAAATAAGCAGAGCTTCTATTCTTTTTAAAGTAAGCCACTTTCTGAAATAGACTTATGTTATAGATGACATTGTTAAGTTGGGTGATTTTTGCAATTGCTGCTGCATTGTATTTGAGGAAGATGGGCAGATTTCATAGTGAAATGGGCCAGTTAAGCATCACATAAGGAATAAAAGCAAGTCATCAGTGAGTTATATAAAATGTGACAAGGGTAGTTACCTCTGTGTTCATCGCCAAGGTTGTTAGATTCTCAGCTCCTGTCATAAAACAATGAATTGTATTACAAGCGTTGGCTACAGATGCCATTAAATTACTTCTAAAACAGCTTTTTGCTAGATGACATTAAATTCAGGCCTGTAGCTCCTCATGTGCTGAGTGAATATTTTCAGGATGGGGATGGAACCATCTTCCAGTCTTCTGCGCAACCTCTGGTGCATAACCGCGAATGGAAGTGTTGTATGGGCAAAGCTTAAACAAGGGGAGTGACTATTTCTCTGAGCAGGCAAGTCTCAGTGTTATGGTCCCTGCTGCGTGGGCTGCCTGTGCAGTTAGCATTTGGAGTCACCAAGTGAAGTGTTTGTAGAGTATTGACACCAGGAACTTTCACTTCCCAGACAAGTGCTCTAAAGATGTGTCATTCTGCCACTTCCTTTTGTTACCGTTATCTCATCATTGTAAAGCAATGTTTACAAAGGAGTACCTTTGTGGGCAAAAGGCAGACAGAGGCTTTACCTTCAAATTCCAGTTACCATAACTACCACATCAGAACTGCAGGTAGCTATGAAGGGAGATGGAGTCACAGTCACCCATCTCAGAGGCCCATGCTGGCTGATCCATGTGAGGGTCATTCCCTGCTGTGTGGGGCTCACTTGCATCTCCACAGACCCTTCACCTCCGCCATGGGAAGGCTGGGGCTGTCTTGGCTCAACAGCTTTCCTTCCAGTATGCCTTACGTTCTGCTATACCAAGCAATATCTGAACTTCTGGGTTATTCTTTTTTTGGCAACAGTGATTTCTTAGTCATATAAGTATTTCATTGTTTTGTATTGTGAGAGAAATAGTAATAATAAGTTACCATGGAGAGACTCTTTAAACAAGCCTGTCTCTATGTGCTCTTTTAAGCCTTTTTCTCCGGCTTTCTTTAAGTGCTATAGATGTCAGCTGGGATTATTTCTGGTGTTTGAACTTGCTTTCTGTGGGCACAAACTCCTGGATAAACTAAACTCTTTGTGCTGTTCATCTGCACTTTGGTCCATCTCAAAATTTGTTGGAGATGAAATTGAATGTGACACCTGTTTTTGAAATGTATTGATGAGGTGGTCATTCTGGTTTCAGTGTTAAAGTCTTCTAAAGAACATGCAATCCTTAAAGTTCTGCTTTGTGATGACAGTCTCAGTTATACTCTGAATACTGACATGGTCTTCACTGTGTGAGAGATACTGGAGAGCTGTTTCAACACAAAATATCTAGTTTCTGTGATGGACAGAATTATGAAGCCATGCTGGAGAGGTAGTTTCACTTTGAGCATCTTGAACAGCATTGAGAACACTGTCTTGTGAATGCTGAGAAATTGTCAGATACATGAAGTTTGCTAATCTGTAAGTGAGATATAAGGCCATGAGAGGCTGGATCCAGGTCATGAATGCACCCCAGTGTCAAGGAGAAATTCTCCACAATATATGGCAGAATACATCTGTCTTCTTTTCCATGTCAGACTCCATCGCTGAGGCTCACAAACCTGTTAAACACAGAGTATGCAATTACATTTTCAGTATATGAGTGAGAGTTTCCCTTGTGTTTCTCTTCAGTAAGTCACTTATTTGGTAGATGGTCCTGGCCTGTGTCTTTGTGAAAATATCCCTTAAGTTCTTTTGTTTATTCAGATTGATAGTGGCTGTCACTGTCTCTATTGGAATGAGGACTCTCACAAGCTCAGGATCCTTGATCTCTCGAGCAGCAGATCTTATGATCAGTATTCTGGAGCTCAGAGCTGTGAGAAACTCCGCAGAGTATTTTAAAATTTGTCTTTGTGGTTATCACATTCAGGGAGTGATATCTATTGCCAGCAGGCTTTACATGAGTAAGGCAAGTGGGGAAACTGCTTTGCCCTGCAGAAAAGTAGAATGCTGTTGAAATGGCCTTGGATTCATCTAGCAAGCAAGTAAAATGGTCTTGCACATGCTAGATTGAATTATTCTTGTGATACAAGATTATCTTTTGATACAAGATTATTCTTGGATGCAAACTCCAATTCAGGCTATAGGAAAGTGTTTGGGAATGAGAATTCCATGAGATGGACTTGCTAACGTTAGATCGCATCAAGAAACTGCACTTTTTTTTTCTCCCTTGCTATTTGGTGTCTTGGATCAGACATGGTCTTGATGGAGAAATGCATACATTGTTCTTTGGCTTTATACTGATTATGATCAGGCAAGGTAATACTTCCCAACCCTTGACGGTTCTCATGTCAGGAGGTTATCTGCCATCTGTCTCATGAAAGAGTTTAGAGATCATATTCACTCCTAGATTTGCATCTGAAAAATTGAAACAGTTTTAGCACACTTCATTTCAAGGCCATTCAAGGCCAAAGGAGCTTCGTTGTTCATTTCTATGGGACTGACCCTTCCTGTTTCTTCAAATTCAGTGACATGGATAAATGAGGCTTAAAATAGAACTAAAACCTTGGATAAATGAGGCTTAAAATAGAAGTAAAACCTTTGTGAACAGAAATCACAGTTGTATTTTTTTTTCCAATTAAGGAAACTTTCCTTTGTCTGAAAGGAATCTTAATGACCAAACTACATGTAATGACATTTCAAGAGTCAGCCTTGCATAATATCCATTGCAGAGGTTTGGACTTAGACTAAATCAGTCCTTTGTAGGGTTATTAATTTTTACTAGGCTCTGGAGAGCTTGTGTAAAGGATATTCTGCTGTCATTAAAGGTGCAATAATCATATGGTTGATTATTTTTTCCAAAACTTGGAATCACGAGTATTAAGTCTACTTCACTGTTTTCATTGAAAAGCTTTGCAGTGCTTATGAATTGAATTATAAAAACAGAATTATTGTACATACTTTTTAATTCTATGAAATTAAATATAGAATATATATGACATGAACTGAAAGTGCATTCTCTATAGATGATTTTTATTTGAATATCTGCTTGGTATTGTAGTTGTTAAAAGCTTTCTTTTCCTCTCCTTTCTGTCATATATATGATGCTTATTTGCGCTGGGATGTACTTCAAATGGAAAACTGTTCAAGGGAAAATTAACAATTTTGTTGTAGAAATCTGGATAAGTTTTTTTCAAGCAAAGCTGGAATATGAGAACATTTCTAAATAGGATACCTAACATAAAGAGGTTATTCCATTAAAAGATTATTTCAGACTACAAGTCTTATAGAGTTTCTTCTCAGTGCATGCAACTGTTTAAACTGTTGCACTATTCTTTATTCTTAAAAAAGATGCAGATAACGAAAGCAAAAAAAAAAGTTATTTATTGAGGAATTGATTGTGTCTAATCTGTTATTGACTTACACTTGTTTGAATCAATATAAATAACAATTAAGCTAAATGACAATATTTTTATTCTTAAGTTTGATTAATGACTTATATATCTAGTTTTCTATCAAGGCTTTCTCTAGCAGACTAAGATCTCAGGGTTCTTTCATTATTTTATGAGCAAAGGTGAAGTTTGCTTCTTTTCCTGACCAGGTCTTGCCTTTCCGTTCACTGTCTTTCTGACAGTACACATCTTCTTTGGAACTCGTTAACCTTTAACCCTCTCAGGCAGTCCTGAGTCACTGTCACTGTATTTCCTGAAATTCGGAATGTAGAGTGAATTATCTGCTCCTGTCCTGTCATTTATTTTTCAGTGTAGCTCATTAAGACTAATGTGGATGGGGGTGGGATGCATGTGACAATACTCTAGACAATCTGAGGGAAGAACATGGATGGGTGCAGTAGAGGAGGGCACTAAGCATGTTAAGTGCTGTCTTGTCTGTACACTTAGATAAGGACCACATCGTATGAATTTTAAATAACTAATTTTATATTACTCTTTCTTTGGTATTCTTGAGAAGACTATGTTGGCGTGGTTAAAGAATTGTGTTTTGTTCTGCAAGTATCTATTGTACTATGTAAAGACTCAGAAGATAGCTTACTTCCTACTGCCTTGGCTGTAGACCAAGTATTTAAATGGATTATTATTGATAAAATGCACATATACAACATTATTATTTTATTAACATTTGAAACTTTCCTTGATTAATTTTTTGTTTATGAAAAATATATTAAAAAAAAAAAAAGAATGTTATGTCTGTACAGAGGAGCAAATGTTAAGCTATTATCTATGTTTTAATTTGTGATGATTCCAATAAGAATGTTCTGGTCATCACATGTAGACCTTCTTGGAGTGCTTTATTAACTTTCAGGTGTAAGCTGAAACCTATTTCAATATTGAGCAAAATGATACTGATACATGTTTTCTTTTCTTCTCTTCCCCCCTTGTTTACCAGGATGGTACGAAACAAAAACGAGAACGGAAAAAGACTGTGTCATTCAGCAGTATGCCAACTGAGAAAAAGATCAGCAGTGCAAGTGACTGTATAAATGCAATGGTTGAAGGCTCTGAGCTCAAAAAGATTCGATCCAATTCCAGAGTGTATCACCGATATTTTCTTTTAGATGCAGATATGCAATCCCTACGCTGGGAACCTTCAAAAAAGGATTCTGAAAAAGCGAAGATTGACATCAAGTCAATCAAAGAAGTAAGAACAGGAAAAAATACAGATATTTTTCGCAGCAATGGAATATATGACCAGATATCAGAAGACTGCGCATTTTCAATCATATATGGAGAAAACTATGAGTCACTAGATCTTGTTGCTAACTCAGCAGATATTGCAAATGTTTGGGTTACTGGCTTAAGATACCTGATTTCTTATGGAAAACATACTCTAGACATGATAGAAAGTACTCAAGATAATATGCGGACTTCATGGCTTTCACAAATGTTCAGTGAATCGGATGTAGATAATTTAGGACATATACCCCTGTGTAATGCTGTACAGTTTATAAAAGACTTAAATCCTGGTTTAAAAACAAATAAAATTGAATTAAAATTCAAGGAGTTACATAGATCCAAGGAAAAAACTGGTACTGAAGTAACAAAAGAAGAGTTTATTGAAGTTTTTCATGAGCTTTGTACTCGACCTGAAATCTATTTCCTGTTGGTTCAGTTTTCAAGCAATAAAGAATTCCTAGATACCAAGGACCTTATGATGTTTTTAGAAGCAGAACAGGGTATGGCACATGTCACAGAAGAAATAAGCCTTGAAATTATTCAGAAATATGAGCCAGCCAAAGAGGGCCAGGAAAAAGGTTGGCTTTCTATAGATGGGTTTACGAATTACCTTACTTCACCAGACTGCCACATATTTGACCCAGAACATAAAAAAGTTTGTCAAGATATGAAACAGCCATTATCTCATTATTTTATAAATTCATCTCATAATACATACTTGATAGAGGATCAGTTTCGAGGGCCTTCTGACATCACAGGTTATATTCGTGCTCTTAAAATGGGTTGTCGAAGTGTTGAACTGGATGTTTGGGACGGTCCAGATAATGAGCCTGTGATTTACACGGGACATACAATGACTTCTCAGATTGTCTTCCGTAGTGTGATTGACATTATTAACAAGTATGCATTTTTTGCTTCAGAGTATCCTCTTATTTTATGTTTGGAAAATCATTGTTCTATTAAACAGCAGAAAGTGATGGTACAACACACGAAGAAAATTTTGGGGGACAAACTATATACGCAGTCTCCAAACATTGAAGACTCTTATCTTCCATCACCGGAATCACTTAAAGGAAAAATACTAATTAAAGCAAAAAAGCTTTCCTCAAATTGTTCTGGACTAGAAGGAGATGTTACAGATGAAGATGAAGGGGCAGAAATGTCACAGAGAGTGGGGAAAGAGGGTGTAGAACAACAAAACTCTTTGACTGGGAAACGATTTCAGCTTTGCAAAGAGCTCTCTGAGTTGGTAAGCATATGTAAATCAGTTCAGTTCAAAGAGTTTCAAGTTTCATTTCAGCTCCAGAAGTACTGGGAAGTGTGCTCATTTAATGAAGTGCTTGCTAGCAAATATGCCAATGAAAACCCGGGAGACTTTGTAAATTATAACAAACGTTTTCTTGCCAGAGTTTTTCCCAGCCCTATGAGGATTGACTCTAGTAATATGAATCCCCAGGATTTTTGGAAATGTGGTTGTCAGATAGTAGCCATGAACTTTCAGACACCTGGATTAATGATGGATCTTAACATTGGTTGGTTTCGACAAAATGGGAACTGTGGCTACGTCCTTCGTCCTGCTATCATGAGAGAAGAAGTATCTTTCTTTAGTGCAAACACAAAAGACACTGTGCCTGGAGTTTCACCTCAGCTGCTTCATATTAAAATCATTAGTGGGCAAAACTTTCCTAAACCCAAAGGATCAGGTGCCAAAGGTGATGTTGTGGATCCGTATGTCTATGTTGAAATACATGGAATCCCCGCTGACTGTGCCGAGCAAAGGACAAAGACTATGCATCAGAATGGTGATAATCCAATTTTTGATGAGAGTTTTGAATTTCAAATAAATTTACCAGAACTAGCAATGGTGCGTTTTGTAGTGCTGGATGATGATTACATTGGGGATGAGTTTATCGGGCAGTACACTATTCCCTTTGAGTGTCTACAGACTGGTTATCGTCATGTTCCTCTGCAGTCTTTAACTGGTGAAATGTTAGCACATGCTTCCTTGTTTGTGCATGTGGCCATTACTAATCGAAGGGGTGGTGGGAAACCTCATAAGCGGGGCCTCTCTGTGAGGAAGGGCAAGAAATCACGGGAGTATGCTTCTGTGAGAACACTGTGGATTAAAACAATAGATGAAGTGTTCAAGAATGCTCTCCAACCTATACGGGATGCCACGGATTTGAGAGAAAATATGCAGGTACAGTTTTTATCGTGAATTTATCAGTACATTATGTGTATTTTTGTATTATGATATGTAAATAACATATGCTTTTTAGAGTCTTATTGCATTTTGTAAGTTACTTGAATCAAGTCTAATGCTGAGCAGCTTTAAAAACTGATTATCTTAGAACAACTTTTGGGGTGATAACATCTACTGATGTAAACGTTGATTCATAGACATATTTTGCCATTTTTTTCTGTGTGAAAAACGTGATTCAGAACTCAAATTTGTTGACTAGACCTATGTTTTTGAAAAAAATTATTAGATATATGCTAGTGGAAAGTACAGTAAGATTTTAGCTTGTTTTTGTAGAACCCATGAGATCTACCTTCCAAATGCAATTTTTGGAGATTCAAATAAAGATTTCAGGTAAATAAGCTCGTTTTAGATCTAAATCAAAGAGGACTTAAAAGTTATATTTTATTTAGTAAAGCTTTTAACTAATTACAAACTTCTGAAGAAATACTAGCAGTGAAATGTAAAATTCAGCAGCTTCATCTGAAATGAAGTGACTTATTAAAACATCGTACTTTTATTTAACATTAAGGGGAAACTGATCAAAGACATCAACGTAGATAAATTTTCTTCATGAATAATGTTATCTTGAAGGGATTCTATTAGTAGTACAGTTTTAAAACTAGTTTTTCTTTTTATGAAAAAAGAAAGTAGTTCAGCGTTTGAAGCTCCCCAATTCTAAGAAATTATTTGAAAGATTTGGAGATAATATTTTGGTTTGTGAAAGTGTTTTGCATTACAAACTGGGTATACAGTGTGCTTTACATGTAGTTAATCTCTCGAAGTAAAATTCTGTCATGTAAGAGGTACTGTATTTTAAGATGGCTTTCAAGGAGTAGCTGAATCTGAGATTTAAGGAGAGTGAAAACGTGCAGTTTTTATAGCTGCTTTAAACTCTTCACTGCATATGCTGCTTTGTTTTCCAGAACTGCTATAATCTGTCAGTCTTTGCAGTATGATTTCTTTGAATGTGAGATATTGGAAGATGTCTTAGATATTTTATTCTCTCAGTTTAAGTTGTGTTATCAACTAAATTGTTATTGTATCTCAGAGTACTATCAAGAAGGTATTTTATGTATATGTAGGAACATTAATTTTGTGTAGCTTTCCTGGCAGGTTATATAATGTGCATAATTTAAAATCTGTATAAGTAAAGGTTTCCAGCTAATAAAAATAAGTAAGCCACTCAAAATAAATACCAGCTTATGTCAAGGAATGTGATTTATGAATTATGGCTTTTGGTGGTAAAGAAGAACACAATGTCTCTGAAGCCAGATACTGAGAAACTGGTTTTGTTTTTAAAATAAACTGGAAGAAGGTAAAAAATAAGGAAGTGTAGGGCAGGAAGTTTAATTTTTAAAAAAAAAATCATATTTTTTAATCACAGGTAGCTTTTAATCATCTTTGTTATGCACTACAATGCCATGACAAAAGTTGATGTCATAACTTGTTATGTATCCATCACTGATAAAAGAACAATGGATGTGATGTATGTTTAAATTGTTTGACGGAGTCAGATATAGGGTTAGAAGTCAAAGGTGAGAGTTACAGCTGTATCTTTGTCTTGCCTGCCAGTAGCTAATGTGTATGCCCCCTGTGCTCTCATTTACCTCTCTGTAAGATTATTGTTCATAATGATTTATTCATGCTGTTAAACAAAATCGGCCTGAAAAGACTTTCCAATGTCTTTATTTTTCCCTCCAACTGTGTAATTATTGTATCATTAAGCTGTAGTCTGGTTGTTAGAAGTAGTTTGTCTTTGCTGGACATTTACAAAATGCTACTTTACTGAAGTATTCTGTGACTGAATGTAACGGATGTAACATAGGTATTCACATAACTTGGCACAGATACCCTGTATGTAGATATCTTGAAATATATTTTATGTATTTTGTCTCATAAAAGGAATGCAGAATACTTCACATTTGATTATTATTTGCATTAAAGTTGACATTATGTCCCTCAAGGAAATTTGTCCAAAAAAGAGCCGTCAAGATGGAAAATGGTTTGATGAAAATGATTAATCAGTCCTAAAAACTGGTCAGATACCCAGTGTAGGTAAGATGAGAGAGAAAGGAGCATTGAGCACATTTGTAACTTGAATGTGCAATGTTTTTGTTTCTTTCAGGAAAACAAACTCCAGACCTGCCAGAGATCACCAGCTCCCACTTGGTACAGAAATCCTAAATTCAATACAGTGCTGAGAACATTCCTCTCATGGAATTTCAGTGGCTGCTTGGAGTCACATTATATTTCTAATACTGGAAATTCTTCTCAAGTTTTAACATGCAATTTTATATTCCACCATATTGGATAGCAAATAAAACTATAATAAATTTTAAGGAAATATACAAAATTGGAATTTATATAAAAGTACCTGAAAAATTTGTTTAAGTGATCTTGTGGTAGGAGTGACATCAGTAGTGGAGTGTTGGGTTTGTGAATCGCACCAAATGGGAGCCAACAGATCCACAGCACGTCTGGATGATAGTTAAGGTATGTCTAAAGTTACAAATGGGCTGAATTCCTCCTTCCACTCCACCTTGCCTATATAGGATGTTCACCACCTGCTGTTTCTCCTGGTAACGTATTATAAGTTACTTTGAAATATCTTTCAGAATTTTTTCAAAACAAATAAGCAGTATGTTTCAGAATTCATTTATTTGCATTGTTAATTTTAGTAGTGGAATAGGCCACACACTTGTTCTAATTAGATTTTTGCTGCAGCAGGTATTATTGGAACTTTTAACGTTTCTAGTTAAATACAAGTGTAATCTTGTTTGCTTTAAAGCTGCCAGTTCTTCAGGGAAAAGCTGTGTACGTTTTAGCTCAGCTATTGCAGTGTTGTATATTAACCTGAAAGAATGAGAAATTTAAAATTGTATTTAACTGTAAAGGAAACTCTTTCTTTCCTTTTTGCAGAATGCAGTAGTCTCATTCAAAGAATTATGTGGCCTCTCTCCTGTAGCAAATCTTATGCAGTGCATTTTGGCAGTGTCTACACGCTTGGCTGGGCCTGATAGTGCACCCTTGGTAGTACTGAATCTCAATGATCAGTATCCGACTATGGAGCTCCAAGGGATAGTTCCAGAGGTCTTGAAAAAGATTGTAACAGCATATGACATGGTGAGTAGTCTTTTGTGGTTATTTTATATGCTATCTGAACACTTTCTTCTTAGAATACACAGTACTATGCCCGTTTAGAAAGGTCATTTTAACCTGTGAATTGCTGTTTCATGCTTCATTACATATGTTTGAAAGCCATTCCCTTGAATGTGCTGCAACTGGTAGTGTTTTCATATCAGGTAAAAGAGAAAGATTAATACACTGGAATACATATGGCAGTGTTTGTACATTTTAGAAGGCAAAGTTGTTATAATCAAGAGGATGTAACGTGAAGAGGATGTATTAATTTACCTGTTCTGCAGTATCTTGAAGTTGTCTGCCTATCAGTGAACCTCTTACAATTATTTGCTACTTAGTATTTTTCATTTTATGAACATTCCTTTGGCATTGACTTAGTGTAGGCAGAAAGGAGTCAGAAAAAGTTTTTAGGAATTTTAGTTTTAGAAGCAACTTGAAGTGTTAAAATCTGCACATGCCTTTTCATTTTCCTGTGCTTTATCTTTCTTGGAGAACTCAAACTCATCTAATTAGCCTGTAATCAGCTGTAATATTAACTTCAGCGCTTATACTTAAGTAAATGTGTAAATTGTGTCTTCAGAAACTGGAAATCTAACATTTTACAAGAAGGAAGGAAAATATAATGCATTGAGAAATAATGGATTATACCTACCTACCAAAAACTTGAAGTATCAAAAAAAGAAAGATCCATTGAGCAGATGAGTGTGATTTGAAATGTTCTCCACTTCTGTGATCTAGAACACTGTAACTGAGCTTTATATTTGTTTATTTTGTAATTGCTTTAATCTGATGTATCATCTGACAATAAGAAAATATTTCTAGGATAATTTTGCGTTACTTTTCTATGTTCAAAGGAGAAACCTCACTCAACAAGATCAAGTCACCATGTTGAAAACAGTCTTTGCTATTTAAAAGAAAAAAAAAAAAGAGAAAATAAACTGGTAGCTCAGTTCCATACATATATATATATTTTAAACCATTTTCTAGATAAAATTACTTTTAGAATAATACTATACCAGTGTCCTAAAGTACTAAGTATGAATTGGTAATTAACAATTTATGTAGAGCTTGTATAGCTTAATGATGATGTAAATACAATAAAATTTGGTCTTAGTGGTAGCACAGTTACAAAAAGATGGTATATCTTAGTGGTAGCTTAGAAGACATCATAATTAGGATGGAAACAGACGTGATTGTTGGACTTACCCATATAACATACTTAATGAAGTTCTATTTTGTTGGTGGAAATGTCTCTACCTGTCATTTGTTCTGATGCTGCTCCTTATTTGTTATTAAACGATTCCAAATATTTAAGTTTTTTTTGTTAAAATCCTTTTTTAAAATACTTTTTTAGATAGAGGTGACTCATACATTCAGACAGCTTCACAATGCAATTTTTTTTTTTCCTTTTCTCTAACGTAGCTTTAACCCCTCTTCCTGTAGTCTTCAAGTGATTTCAATATTTGTGTACTTAGAAATCTATACTTCATTTTCATTGATTAAAACAGTAGAATATTTATGTAATAGCATATTGAAAGCATTTTACCATCTCTGCTTCTGTAAAGAATGGTAAAGACTACATTTCATACAAACACAAACATTAAGACATGACTTCAAACTTTTAGCTTTAAATAATATTGAAGATTAATAATCAAAACGATGATTTTAACCAAACTTACAAATTAAAGTAATGAGATGCATTTCAATTCATGAAACTTGGTCTGTCCAGCTTTGCAAAAAGGTTTAAGCAATTAAAATCAGTAGGATCTACTGGATAATCCTATGTCAGACATGGGAGCTGTGCTGATAGCTCTTTTTTTTTCTGAAAGCTCATCTAGATATAAACTGGAGAAAATGTGACGATGCGTATCATTGACCATGAGAAGATGTGAAGCTATCTAGCTCATGTTTCAAAATTTGCTATGGTGACAGATATTTAGAGTGTGATACTATATTAACGAGTTTATTTCTGTATTTCTGGTTTGAATTTAGTAAGCCCTCAAAATGACACACTTTATATCAATAGTTGGTTTTGGTTTGGGGATTTTCTGGCCATCATTGAAGAGCAGGTGGTGTAAAATTGGGCATAGTAATGAGAAGTCTTATCTAGAACTAAGAAAGGGTAGCTGTGCTATCAAAATAATGATTACCTCCTTGTCTTATTTTATGCTGGTTTAGGAGTCAGCATAGATCAAAATTATATTTCAGCCATATTCTGTGGCACACACATAATGGTGTGTCAGTATGCTTAGTATGAAATCATGATGTTAAAAGGGAACGCATTACATATTCATTAATTAAACATAGGTTAACACTGTAAATGCATCAGTAGTCATGACCTTGCATGAATTCCGAATATGGCAATCTGAATGATATTTTCAAAGTAATTCTACTTCAGAGTGAGAGTATTTGGGACAAATGAAATAATTTTTATTTGTCAGATACGCTCTCAACTTTATAAAATCATAGTCAACATAGAAAGCAATGTTCAGCCAAGACTATTAATTATCTAGAAGAATTTATTTGCATTGAAAGCATTAGATGGCTCATCTTTTCCCTGTAAAGTGAGACAAGATGTAAGAATTTTACAGTGGGACAGTCAGTCTGCACTGAAATAATTACAATTATAAAGAGAGTGCAGTACTGCAAGGACACATCTAACGTGAGAATAACTTCAGGTTCTCATGGTAACATACAATTTTTAAGGAAACAACTAAACAAATGATATGTTAATTAGCATGTCACTACATAATTATTTTTATATATGTAAACAAACAGCATTTTTTTTTTAATTGCCAGTGTTCACTACTACATACAGAGGAGCTATGGGTTAAAATAGTGTATCTTTGAGCTTGATGAGTGTTTTTCCATCAGCCTTACTAAAACCAAAAGTTTACCCAGGAAATAAGAAAATCTTCAGCTTTTATTCATGTTATGGCAGTTGAGGTGTCTTTCCAGAAGAATGAAAACAGGTATAACTGGGAAATTTTGAGAAGCTTAAGTTGCATATTTTTTCTCTAGCTACTCCATGCTCCTGAATAAATTTTCTCTATTATTTTTTCTCACTGTTTAACGATGTTTTATTTTTCCCTTTCGTTCATGAACTTCAGCTTCCTTTATGTGATACTTCAGCATGCACTCTGTTGGTGTCATCACACCCATCACTGATCAGTGCTGCAGACTGAAGCTTGGAGTTAAGGCAAGTGCCTCTTCCACACCATTGCATGTTTTTTATGTCTTATGAGATTTAAGATGAAGAGTAAGTAAACTTTAAAAAGTTGTATTATGGCAAGAGAAAAAAATTTATCTTGTCCTAAGTCTGCAGCATTATTCAGTGATGCCCATAATAGCACTGCAAAGATATGCTAGAGGATCATACAGAGGAAGCCAGATACTGTTCAGATACTATCTTTATTTGTTCTTTGTGAAGGATGAAGTGTCCCATTTGATGAAGATGAGGTTTTCTGAAGTTTGCAAGGAAAAATGTACAAGAAGAAAACTAACATAAAAAATGCAGAAAGCTCTACCTGTGTGAAAGAAGATAAAGAAACACTGCTGTAATAATTAGGATCGATTGTTATTAAAACCTAATTGTATAGTGCTGCTAGGCCTATTTTTTTTCACATTAAAAAAAAAAAAAAAAAAAAAGGAAAGGAAAGGAAAATGAAAGAAAACAGAAAAAAAATCCGCACATGAAAGTTGTATTGTAATTCAAAGTGTATTCAGACTGATAGTATAGGAGGTCTTAATTTGTTTCAAGTAGTATGGGTAGCTTCTGTAGATGCGCTCTAGGGACAGGATCAAAATCAGGTCTGAGTTTATTGATGCTGAGGATTATGAGATAATGAAAATGAGAGGTATTAAAGACACCAAAGCTTGTAAACCAGAATACACAATCTGATTTGTGAATAGTAATTCTGTAGTAAGCTTGCATCTGGTTATCTGACTGTTGGCAGCAGATTGCATATATAGTCACGTTGAAGTTAACTTCATGTTATGTAGCTGCAAATATTTCCAGTGACATAAGGTAATTAAAGTAGCCTGTATTTTGATTTCCATTCTGCTCAGAAGATACTTTGATATTAATCCTAGAATAGTTATAGACTGGATCAACACTAGCAAGTTTTACTAAAAACTGTCTAAAAATGACTTACTATCTAGGTTTTGATCATATAATATTTTGTCTGCTGCTCAGTACCTTAAATGTTCTTCATCTTTAAAAATCATCATGGTATCCATGCAGATAAATTTGGTGGGACACTTTTGTATCAGACACGCTGGGTTGAAATTTGTAATTCTGACAGAAACAAAAATTGTATCAATTCTGAGGAATGTAAATTTTCCAAGAAATAATTAGGAGATCTGTTTTGAGTTATACTTAGCTTGTAAAATCTATATTAGTTACCTTGTTACTGATGTAGGTTCTAGGTCATGGTTACCTTCCAAATGTAGTAAGAGATTTCAGTCATTCTTCTGTGGTTATGAAACTGTATCTTGAGAGAACGTGTAAATTAAGACTTTTCCACTTCCTCTCAGCTTGTTGATGTGCCAGAGCTAGTTAGCTGACAAGCCTTTGTTCCACAAATTATCCTTTGGGATTGAAAGTGTCTGTGCTAACAAGAGATACAAGGTCCAGCACTGCTACTTACTGATTGTTCTTGTAAGATGAAATGAGTGAACAGATTGCTTTCGCTCTCATATAACTCTATTTTGACCTAAATTTTAGGTTTTGGATTGTTGCAAAGAAAGCTGAGTTCTCACCAATCTAATCTAACTTTGGATCTCATGTGATAGCATCTGACCTCTGTCTGCTTTGTGCACCTAAAGAAAATCTAGATTTTTCAGTCTGGTGCCTTTTCTGAGGAATATGTGACTGGCATAGACTACAAAAGCTGTGCTTAGTTTTCCCCAGCTGATTCAGAACATCATTCTTGACTACATTTCTTCTGAAGTTCATGTTACAAGGCATCCTCCAAAATGTT